GTCCAGTGTTTTACCCACCATCCCACCTGCTAGCCTCTAGATCGATGTTGTTACACTTTCAGAGTAATGAACCTTTTTTTCTTCCTGAAGCCCTCGTAAAATTTCAGTATAAGAGATAACAATGGTATTTATTAATACACAATCATATGAGAGTCTAAATGTATAATAATAATTACTAAAAGCATTATAAATGAGAACAATAAGGTTGTTATAATAAATATGAAACTTCAGCTCAGAAGTTATAGATGAGCATTGCAGTCATAACTTTACTATTGCAGCATTTCATCCATAAAGTGTCTCTTTTTAAAAAAAATATTTAATTTAATTTATTAATTTATTTAAGTTTGACCCGAGAGGGACAGAGTGAGTAAGAGAGAGAGAGAGAGAGAGAGAGGGAGAGGAAAAAAGTGAGAAAGCAAGCCGCCAGGTTCAGGACTCAAACTGTAGTTGGGCATGTGGGAATCCAGTGTCCTTAACCACCACGTCACCTGCCAACCCCATCATAAAGTGTGTCTTGACAACCTGAGACTACTTACCTTTGGAGGTCCCACCATTATGCTCCTATAATAGCACCTGAACAATTTGTATCCCTTCAAGAGGCTAAACTCCTTGAAGACAGGGACATTTTCTTATTCTTTGCTGTACTCCAGGGGGTAGCACAATTCCAAAAGTACAGTACATATATTTGGTAAACATGTGTTGCTAAAAAAGTGTAGTCCTTTCCACCAAGGTCTAATATCATTTCCATATTCATTGAATGACATGTTTAAGTTTCCACCTGATATTACCCTTTAGATCTTATGTTTAGCAAAATAATTATTGGCCTACATCCAATTGACCATATAGTATTTTTAATGCATTTGGGATCAAATCCAAGAGGTTAAACTGACTGACTTTTGTAGTGAGCCTGAACAGAAGAGCATGCATGGGGAAGGAACAAAGTGAGATACTGTAAGAAATCCTGACGGGGTCTTAGGAGCTCTGGATTTTGGAGATTCAAACATAATCCAGCGTCTGGTACCCGAGGAGGGTTGTTGAGCTTGGTTAAGGGACATGATCAGATTCAGGAACAGACCTAACAAAGGGAGGCTGGCGTTTACCTCGATAAGCAGCATAGGAACCAGAAGAGAAAGATTACTGTGGAAAGTGCCCTTTGGTGTCCAGAGGAGCATTAACACAGCATTCTCTGAATTGGCAAGGAGGAGGTAAGCGTTTTCAGGCATGTGGATGCCGAAGTAAAGGACTAAGGTAA